GTTCTTCCTCACCAGAGGAGAAGCACTTAGTGGTCATGGGGGATCAGGAAGCTTCTGAAGACCCGAGACACCTGAACAGCATGCAGAGCCAGTGTGGTGGGGAGTCGAGGAACAGAGTTGGAGAGGAAGGACCAGCCTCTGCAGGACCACTGTGCAGACTGGGGAACCACTTAGCATCAAATTAACTCTGATTTATGGTGCCCCAAGTCTGTCACAATAGACTATGTCAAATAGATGATTTTTCCAGAGTAGATCACCAGACCTTTCTTCTGAGGGAACTCTAAATTGACTCAAAACCTTTCAGTTAGCAGCTGAGTATGTAACTATTTGCACCACCCAGGGACTCCATAGACTGGGAAGGGGGCTTTTTTCAGGAAGAAGGCAAGGGAGGGCACTTCATGAGGGCTGCTGACAGGAATGACCCTCCTACCTCCCCACAAGTCCCCAGTGAGAATTTTTCTGAGGTGGTGGCACTTCCCAGTTCCCTGGGAACTCTCCCTCAACCTTGTTCCTCTCCAGGCCAGGGTCTCCCTGGGCATCCCAGCCCCAGGGCTGGCATTAAGACTGGGTTCTGATAGAAGGTGTCCCAGAGGAGGAGACAGCAGCGTGCTCACCTTCACTCTCTACCTGGTGAGTGGACCCCTGGGAAAGCAGCACGTAGCCTGGGCCACAAGGAGAGGCCAGAGCTGGGAGGGTTCCTGTGAGGAGAAGGAAGGACCAATGTGGTTTGAAGTTGGTGCGCTTGGCAATAACCAGAAACTTACTGTGGGAGTTTGAGCAAGTCAGTTCCCTTCTCGGAATCAGTGTGGGTAAAGAGAAGGACTGGGACAGATGATGTGTGAGTGCCTGCCCTCCTACCCTGGGGAAGCCAAGCCCTTCCACACTGGGCCAGAGGCCTGGCTCCCCCAGCCCCGTGCCACCCGCTCTCTGGCACCAGCAGGAAGTGCTGGGCAGGTCGGTGTGTGCCCAGGAGGAAGTGCTGGGCAGCTGGCCAAGAACGTTACAGGTTTACCTGGGCAGCTGGCTGGGAGGAATGCCGGGCCCCCACCTTATATGTCCTGAGGGGAACTCTACTCCTTAAGTGCCCCAGCCAGGCCAGCATCCCCAGACTCCCATCTTGATCTCGCTCCTGCTACCCCTGGCACCAGTTGCACGGGGACAGCCCCAGATGGCTCCCTGGCCTGGGGACAAAGGCCACACTGTGCCCAACCCTAAGCTGGCCTCAGACTGGGTCACACTGAGCCCTTCTGTCTCCAGTTGGGGGTGAGGGGCAGACGGCACCAAGGTGACAGTCCTTTTTCCTGTCTCCTTTCCCCCGTGACCCCCCGAATCTGAGGAGCTGACTCTCCCAAGAGACAAGTGACAGAAGGCATCTTGTGTCCTGAGCGAGGGGACAACAGATCATTCACTGCCCAGGCTACCCTGTCACACGCAAGACCCTGCAGGGTTCAATGGCCCAGTTGTCCCCAGCTGCCTGCTCCCCATCACCATCAGGAAGTCCATCCTTACATCTGCCCTCCATCCCTCCTGCTACAGTCACAACCACTTCCACTTGTGCTCTTCTTGGAGGCAGGTGGAGAGCAGCTGGTCCCCATCTCTCTGTGTCCTTTGGCCCCATGCTCTTGCTCTGGTCAGCTGTCCCCAGACTCACCCTCTTTCTGGGTTGGTCCCTCTCCCACCCCCACTCCACCCCAGGAACAAGCTGGTGGGAAGTGCAGGGGTAACTCAGGACCCTTCTCCTTTGTGTCCCAGAAATTGGGAACCTCCCTCCAAGGAGGTTTGCAGTGTGCACCCCTCCCCCAGTCCCTCCCCCATCGGTGAAGGACAGGAGATTTATGGCCACTACTGGTGGATTCCTGAGCCACAAACCCAACACACCATCCCATAAATCCCTGACTGCAGGACAGCTTTATGCGGAAGCCATTTTTAGAAGGGGGCATGACTGATCTGGGCAGAGCTCAGGCCTCATTTTCTGTCCGCTGAACCCTCGCCACTCCCAAACTAGGAGGACCATGGCTGAAGCCCGGGACTTCAGTATGCTTGTGTCAGTGTGCCTGATTTGTGTGTGCTTGTGTGTCGTTATTGTTGTTAAGTGCCCTTGAGTCAATTCTGACCCATAGTGACCCTATATAAGAGCAGCTGGTGAGCTTGAACCACCAACCTTGCAGTTCAAACGACTTTGCAGTCTGACGCATTAGCCCATAGCACCACACCAGAACTCCTGTGTGTGTGTTGGTGGGGGGGGTGGGGGGATGGCTATTGCCCTGCTTAGCAAGCTCTTCACTCCTTGTCCCAGCTCCAGCTCTGAGAAGCCCCCATGTCAGCCTGGGTTTTGGAAGGTGAGCAATTTGGAAACCTGGGCAGAGTGCCTTCCCTTCCCTGGACCTCAGCTGCTTCCCATCCGTGCTTCATGTCCACATCACTGGGGATGCTCTTTAAAAAATGCATGTTTCCAGGTACCAGCCTCAAGTTCCATCACCTGAGAAGAGGCTGATTCTGATGTTCAGTCAAGTTTAAGAACACTTCATCTGTGTAGTGGGAACATCTCCACTCTTCTGCCATGCTGTGAAATGAATCACCCAGGAAGTGTCTAGGCCTCCTTGGGCTGGACAGACTTTGAGGCAAGGTAGCTAGCTGCCTTCTGGGAGGGTCCTGTCTCAGAGTCCAGCTGCATTGGCGCTGCTGGGGTTGGCTGGCAGCAACAGGTGTAGGTATGAAGAATACAGAAGGCTGGTGGGCTCTGCCAAGGAAGCTGGAAAAGGGTCTGGCAGCTATCCTGTCACCCACCTGGAAAGGCATCTCAAAGGAGACACCACCAACCCATGACTTTCTTGAGAACAAACCAAAAAAACAAACCAAATCAAGTGAACTGCAACTCACGGTGAGCCCATGTACTCCATAGGGTTTTCAATGGCTGTAACTCCATGGCACATAACAACAATTTTATGAAAGCCAATCACCAGGTCTTTCTTCCTTTGCACTGCTAGGTAGATTCAAACCTCTAACCTTTTGGTTATCTGCCAAGGGTATTAACCATTTGCACCTCCCAGGGAAGAGGGACCATGTTTTACTCTCTTCTGTAAGTAATCCCAGTGTCTGGCACATAGTAGGTGTTGGTTGAATTGAACTGAGTGAGGTAGGTAGGACCCAGGGTCAGATGGGACTTGGTTGACAGTGTAGGCTGGTAGCCTCTCATCTGTAGGGTGCCAACTTGAGGACAGACAAACATCCTGCCTACTTTTTCCCTGAATTCTGGGGAACCAGAGGGCTACAGCTTAGCTGGGTCATGGGCATCAAGAAAGCTGCAGATCAGGGAAGGGGCCCTCCCCAGGCTGTCTGCAAACAGAAGGATGTCATCACTGAGCAAATGAAAACATGATACTGACCCATAATCCTTTAAATCAGGAGGATCCATGAGGGGCCTGGTTGCCCTGGCAACTGATGGCTGGCCAGTGGCAGGGCCGAGAGCATTCTCGGAGCGGGCCATGCCTGGTGCGTGGGCAAAAGCTGGGAGTGGGTGCAGGGTGGCCCCCTCCCATCACAGGCTCCTGGTGTCTAGTTGGCAGGTGTGGGTGGGGGGCCCTAGGGGACCTCTTAGTCCAGGCCCCACTGCAGCTGAGGTGGTAAGGCAGAGCAGGACGGGGGTGGGCGGGTAGAGTGGATGACAGCATTGGGAGTCGAGGAAACCACTCAGATTTTCAAAGCAGGAGGGAGACAGCAGGCTCTTCAGGCAGAGGCTAGAGTGTCTCCTGTTCAGAGGACACAGGAGCCAGCAGAGGTCGGAGGACACTGACACTCTTGTGTCCCCTTCCCTGGGGCCCTCTCTGTTTCTGGCACATGCTGTGTTTCCCGAGACCTTTAACTGCTTCTGACCTCCCAGATTTCAGTCGGAGAGGAGATGGGGCTGGCTTAGCTTAGTTCTACACTTCCTCTCCCTCGTTCATTTCCTCTTTTATCCTTTCCCCTGGGTTCCCAGTACCAGCCAGAGAGAAGTTCCTGGTGTTACTGTCAGGGTGAAATGGAGTTTGAACCAGATCTTGGACCAGGGTGTGGGCCAGTGGATGGCTAGACAGCTTCTGGGCACCAGTAAAGCTTCCTGGTTGCTAACATGCTGAAACGTGTACCCACCAGGTGGGAGAGCTGCTGGCCTGGGACCATATATTCTGCTGCCCTCCCTCCAAAACTCTCCAGACCTCCAGGTTAACCTAAAAGGCTAACATGGAGGGGGTAAACCAAAAATCCAAACCCACGATCATCGAGTTGATTTTGATGGCCTTATCGTACAGAGTGGGGTTGGTGGTTATGTGCCGTAGAGTCAGTTCTGACTCATAGTGACCCTGCATAGGATTACCAAGGCTGTAAATCTTTATGGGAGCCTTATCTTTCTCCCGCGGAATGGCTGGTAGTTTTGAACTGCTGACCTTGAAGTTAGTATGCCAATTCATAACCACTGAGCTACCAGAGCTCCTTATAGTACAGAGCAGAACTGCTGTTTTGGGTTTCCAAGAGCGTAAATCTTTATGGAAGCAGATGGCCTCATTTGTCTCCTGCATAACAGCTAGTGGTTTTGAACCACTGACCTTGTGGATAGGAGCTGATGTTGAACCTCCTACCATGATTGTTGTTGTTATTGTGTGCCATCAAGTCAATTCTGATGCATAGTGACCCTGTATAGGGTTTCTAAGAGTGACTGGTGGGTTTGAACTCTCAGTCCGCGGTTAGCACTCCAGTGCTCAGTAAAGGGGAGAAGCAGTCTCCTGGATCCTGTGTGTATATCATCCAACTGTTTACTGTTCTGGTCGATGGAGATGGTGACTAGCTCCCCGGATGAAGGGACTCCTGGAGGGACAGGCTCAGGGGGAGGGTTAGGTACTACCCTTAATGTTAAGTCACTATCCCAGCATGCACTGCCACAAAGCCTCTGCTCACCCAAGACCCTGAATTCACATTGGCTACTTCATTCTTCCTACCTGTTCTCATGTCTCAGGACCTAGGCCTGGATGACCATGAACAAGATGAAGAACTTTAAGCGCCGTTTCTCGCTGTCAGTGCCCCGCACTGAGACCATCGAGGAATCCTTGGCTGAATTCACAGAACAGTTCAATCAGCTCCACAACCGGCATAATGAGGGTGAGGGACCTGGGGACCCTCCTCAAGCTGCCTTTCCCACCCGACACTGCCCCCAAGTGTCCCCTTTCCCACTCTTGCTGTCATGAGACACCTTTGCTACTTGGCCCATGGGGGCTTCCGGTTGCTGATGGGGAGGACTGAATGAGAAAGTGGACTTCCCCCTCTCCCTCAGGGTCAGGGAGGGTACTGATGCCTCCCTCTCTTAGATCTGCAGCTTGGTCCTCTTGGCAGCGATCCCCAACCAGAGTCCAGTACTTTCTCCCCGACAGACAGTGGGGAGGAGCCCAGGCCACTATCCCCTGGCACACAGTACCGGCGGCAGAACCAGCGCCGCTTCTCCATGGAGGTAATAATCACCAAAGGATTAAATGAGTTAATTATATGCCAAGTGCTTAGAGCATTGCAAACACGTAATCATTTGGTATTGTTACTACTCGTACACATTTTTGGAGTCCTGGTGTGGCTCTGTGGGTTAATGTGTTGGACTGCAATGTGGATTTGAACCACAGGGTCGACAGTTCAAGCTCACCAGCCGCACCTCAGAAACCCTATATACAGGCTCGCTATGGGTCAGAAACGACTCAATGGCACTTAACAAGAACAATATACATTTTTAAGAGAAGTTGCCTTTGAATCGATTCCAACTCACGGCAACCCCATGTGTTAGAGTAGAACTGTGTTTCAAAGGGTTTTCAGTGATTGTGATCTTTTAAAAATATATTGCTATTTTAAAATCTTTGGCATCCCTGGATGGATTCAAACCACTAATCTTTCAGTTAGTAGCTGAATGCGTAATCAATTTTACTAATATCTATGCGTATGCCCATATAGAAGTCCTGGTGCAGCACAGTGGTTAATGCACTGGACTGCAAGGTCAGTTTGAATGAACCTCAAGGTTGACGGGTCAAGCTCCCCAGAGGCTCCTCAGAAATCCTATACAGGGTCGCTATGAATTGAAACTGACTCCACAGCACTTAACAACAACAACAACAAATCAAAGCTTTTTATAGCTGGGGATGCTGAGGTCCAGAGAGGAGAAGGGACCCTCACCGAGTCACTCAGCAGTCGCTGGGTGCTCATGTATGTGGCTCCAAGCACACCTCGGAAGCAGCAGCAAGCCTGGGGCCATAGCCAGTGGTGTGGCCCTGCTATGGCTGCTCTGCAGGGAAAGCCTGGCCCAGCATGAGAGACAAGAGCCCCACAGCAAGCAGTGGTGTCCCCATCTCTCCATCCTGGTCCCTACAGGACCTCAGCAAGAGGCTCTCTCTGCCAATGGACATCCGCCTGCCCCAGGAGTTCCTACAGAAGCTACAGCTGGAGAACCCAGAGTTGCCCAAGCCACTCAGCCGCATGTCCCGCCGTGCTTCTCTGGTGAGTCCCACGGCAGACAGGGCCACCAGAGTAGGACACCCTCTCCCCAGCATGGACACAGCAGTCCTGGCCTGTCCCAGCAATGGCCTGCTGGGGTTTCCAGGAAGGTTCTTGGACCTCTGGCGCCACCTGCTGGTCATAGTGGGTTCAGCTAGTCCATCCTTCTTGGGCACCATCCATTCCCTAAAAGGGTTCTCCTGGGGCCAGAACTACACTCCAAACCCTCTTCTAGACTCCTCTGAGTCCACGAGACCTTCATTGGATTAAGGTCACAACCCAGTCGTGGCTGTCTCTCAGATGTGCCTGGGAGCATCTTACACGGATTTCTGGGCCTCCCTCCCAATTACCTGCAGAATCAGACTAAGTATCCGAGCCCAGGGATCCTTACTGTTAAGGATTAGGTACTACTGACCTAGAGGAAGTGGGTTGATGAGAGAGACTGTCAGGAGGTGGGTTCTGAGCCTGACAGAAGATACAGTGAAGAAAAGAACAAAGAACCTACCCTCAGGATTTTGTCATGGGGGAAGACAGACAGGTGACTAAGGTGTGCAGCAGTCCCAGAAACCACTGCTCTGAGTGCCACACCCTCAGCTGTCATTAGAGGAAGACACTCAGGGCTTCAGGGGGCTTCACTCACACTCCCAAAGGCTCCTTCCTTTACCACAGGGATACAGGAAAGAGAAGACCAGGAAGGACTATGGCTGCCCTCAGCCTTGCTAACTTCAATTGTTCCCTGTCCTCATTCCATTCCCCTCTTTCACTGGAGATTGGGGGATGCTGGGTGGGACCTTTACACTCACAGAACCCTACATCTCTCCCTCAGTCAGACATTGGCTTCGGGAAACTGGAAACGTACGTGAAACTGGACAAACTGGGGGAGGTAAGAGGCTGGACTTGGTTTTCTCGTGGCAGCCAGGAAGGATAGTTGCAATGTTGGACAGGACCATGTTGGCTCTGCAGGCAGCCCACCTCTGGCAGGTGCTAAGGTGGCCCTAGTCCTGAAGGAGGGCATGAGGGTGGAGTGGCCCACTAGCTCTGGAAAAATCTAGTCTGTTTCTGCAAGTACTTCTCACCTAGGTTCAAATCCCAGCTCTGTGACCTTGGGCAAGTAGCTTAAGTGGCCTCTCTGTACTTCATTTCCTTCCTCTGTCAAATGGTTATGAGGGTAAAATAAGTCATCGTAATAGGTTTATCACAGTCCCTGTGTAGTGCAAACATGTAACACACTCGGCTGCTCAGTGAAAGGTCAGTGGTTTGAGGCCACCCAGCGGTACCTCAGAAAAAAGGCCTGGGGATCTACTTCTGAAAAATGCAGTCACTGAAAACCCCTGCAGAGCACAGTTCTACTCTGACACTCATGGGGTGCCATGAGTCAGTGTCAGCTTGATGACATTGAGGCAAGTATGGCACATAGAAGAGTCTGCTGCCGTTAAGTGCCATCAAGTCATTTCTAACTTGTTGACCCTATATAGGTTTTCCAAGGAGCAGCTGGTGATTTTGAACCACTGACCTTGCACTTAGCAGTCCAGTGCTTATCCTCCACCACCAACCCAGGATTCCAGTCTAACTATTAGCTATTATTGTCTTCACTGTGTCAGGCTTTGTGTTAGAGACCGGAGGTGGGAGAGGCTCCCAGAGAGAAGGGAGGCACAACCCTGTCCCTAAAGGAGCCCACAGAGGAGCTCTGTTAACCATCAACAGACTGTGAGGACACAAAATGGCAGAGGGCCCTCCCCAGCGCCCTGGAAGGTAGACAAAGGAGCAGCTCATTCCAACTGGACAGGAATTAGGAATAGCTTTCCAGGGGAAGGGTCTTTGGAGGAGAAAAGGGACAGATGCTCAGGCTGAGGCTACGTTCCAAGCCCAGGCAGAGAGAGAAGGGGATAGGGGAACCTGAGACCTGAAACAGCCTGGGACTGATGGGCTCCTTGTTCATCCCAGGGTACTTATGCCACAGTCTTCAAGGGCCGCAGCAAGCTGACGGAGAACCTGGTGGCTCTGAAGGAGATCCGGCTAGAGCATGATGAGGGGGCACCCTGCACTGCCATCCGAGAGGGTACAGCCCCTTAGGGTCCCCTCGGGGTTTTCTGGGAGCACCCTGGCCCAAGGCACTGAAACTAACCTGGAAGTGAAGCAAGGATATGGGGCACATGGGGTCTTAGGGACCAATCTCCCCACAGTGTCTCTGCTGAAGAACCTTAAGCACGCCAACATCGTGACCCTGCATGACCTCATCCACACGGAGCGGTCCCTCACCCTGGTGTTTGAGTACCTGGTGAGCTGAGCTGGGGATGTCGGCCTGTCCCTTTCTTACGTACAGGGCATCCTGGTCTGGTTCTGGAGTCAGGTTCACAGATGTCCCTGTGCCAGGGTGGGGCAGGGGCTCAGACTTGGGGACCAAACCCCACCAAACCTACCACCACTGAGTCCATTCCCACTCACACTGACCCTATAGGTCCTTAGGGTTTCCAAGACTGTAAGTCTTTATCAAAGCAGACAGTCTCGTTTTTCTCCCACAGAATAGCTGGTGGGTTTGAAGTGCTGATCTTACAGTTAGCAACCCAGTACCTAACCCACAGCACCACCCGGGCTCCTTTGGGCTTGGGGAAAGCTCAGAGCTAAAGGCCTGACACCAATCCTCTTCATTGCCTGTCCCACTCCTGGGCTTGGTCCCTGCCCTGTGAGGGGCTTCCTCCTCACTGAGTCTGGGCTTCCGGCCAGGAGTCAGGACAGGCTCTGTGTTCCAGGACAGCGACCTGAAGCAGTACCTGGACCACTGTGGGAACCTCATGAGCATGCACAATGTCAAGGTGAGGCGGTCCCCACCCTCAGGACCTCTACCCATCTTGGCACCTGTCCTGAAGCCCAGATGGGAACCCGTTCTCACCATCAGCGTCCCCGCTGCTGTGCTTGTTCAGATCTTTCGTCCATAGGTGGGAAGGAAAGGGCTCTGACCTTCAGTGAGTTCTGGGAACTGGGCTGAGTGCCTTTCCCACCTACACGTGTACAGACACCCTGCTGTCTCTGATCATCAGTTTACCCATCTGTCAAATGGGGCCAGGAGCTACCTGCCAGAATGAAGGGAGGCTTCCAGGGAAGCTCAGAGGAATGCAGATGCTCCTTCAGGTTTAGGAAAGAGTTGTGCACTTGCATCTGCACACAGGTGGATGTCCTGACCAGCCACCCCTCCCCTCACAGCTCCTGGTCACAGAGCCCACTGGTCTCCTCCTCATGCCCAGTACCCTCCCCTCTGGACAGTATTCCTGATGTGGATGGGGCCCAGAGTGGGTAGGAGAACCAGGTAGCTTATCCAGGGCTGGTGCTGACTTGTGTCACACACACATACACACACACACGCCCACGGCCCTGCCTCCACCATCAGTCCCAGCCACAGGACAAAGGCTCACGTCTCCCAAAGGGAACATTCTCACATTGTTTGCTGCTTAGTTCTTCTTCCCTCCTCTCCCAGATTTTCATGTTTCAGCTACTTAGGGGTCTTGCTTATTGCCACCGCCGTAAAATCCTGCACCGAGACCTGAAACCCCAGAACCTGCTCATCAACGAGAAGGGGGAGCTGAAGCTGGCAGACTTTGGTGAGGGCCAGGGTGGGGGTCTGACACAGTATGGGTGCACTAGGGTCGGGCTGAGAAGTTAACCCAGCCATGCCTGCAGGCCAAGGTTCAATGGCACATCTGTCCCCAGGACTGGCCCGGGCCAAGTCAGTGCCCACCAAGACCTACTCCAACGAGGTGGTGACCCTATGGTACAGGCCTCCCGATGTGCTGCTGGGCTCCACAGAGTACTCCACCCCCATCGACATGTGGTGAGTGCATGCTGCACAGGCTGAGGAGTAGTCCATACCACCTTCTCCCCTTTGCCATGAGCCTCTGGGAAGAACCATCTAGCATCCTTTCACTAAAAGCCATGTGTTTTCCTGCTGAACAGGATATTTTTTTAAATTAGCAGAGAAACTGAGTGGGATTTTCCAAAGCTAGGCAGATGTTGTAAGGGTGTACTTCTCAGATGTTCCCTAGGGGCATGCGGGGATTACCAGAGGCTCCAGAGAGCCTACGGTATGTGTGAGGCATGCTTCCCAAGTGTCAGTTATGTTGTTGTTGATTCCAACTCATAGAATTTCCAAGGAGCAAGCTGATGGGTTTGAACCAGCAACCTTCCAGTTTAGCAGTCTAGTTCTTATCCTACAGCACCAAACTAGGACTCCTGTGTCAGTTCTACTAACATAAATATTACTATGTTAAAATTAACACACAAGTGTTTTGAATTAAGAAGAAAAATCAGCCCCATTTTAAAGGTGATATAGGGCCACATGCCCTCTACCCCGAGGTTCCCTTGAAGAATGGGTTTGTGTATGTATCTCTTCCAGTGGGGGGTGCTTAGCACTGTTTAAAGAACTGCTGCTTGGGTGTTGGCTGTGCAGTCAGGTCTCACAGAGTCAAAGGCTGAGAGATCCAGCCTCCCAGAGCCCAGGGAAGCCCTTCTGTAGAGGCTATGGTGGGCGCTGTGCTGTGCTGGGAGTCACCCCCTGCCATGGGCCAGCTCAGCCATCATGCCACCCGTGACCTGACAATGCCCCTGCTCATTGCTCCCACAGGGGTGTGGGCTGCATCCACTACGAGATGGCCACAGGGAGGCCCCTCTTCCCAGGCTCCACAGTCAAGGAGGAGCTGCACCTCATCTTCCGCCTCCTGGGTCAGTCTCCTAGCTCTCCTATCATTTCACCACCAGGGGTCGCCAGAACTCTGTCCGACCCTCAACCCAGGGCCCTCTCAATGGGGCGGAGACCACTGTGGACATGTTCATTCTCAGCTCCCACCTCACCAACTGCAAGTCTAACCTGTCCCCTCATCCATGCCCTCACGCCCCTTCTCTTTCCTCCAGGGACCCCGACAGAAGAGACGTGGCCAGGTGTGACAGCACTCTCAGAATTCCAAACCTACAACTTCCCTCAATATCTCCCCCAGCCTCTCATCAGTCACGCTCCCAGGTAATCACCAGCCACAGATAGCCCCTGGTCCTGGCTTTCCCTCCATGAGGGAAATCTTCACGTTCCCCACCCCCACACAAGCGAGGCCTGCAGCAGCTCCTTCCTCTTGCAGATTGGACACTGATGGCATCGGTCTCCTCAACAGCCTTCTCCTGGTGAGTGTCGCCCAGTGGGCTCACAGACAGGCAACCAAGGAGAGCTGGAAGCCTAGAGCCCTACCCTGGACTCTCTGCCCCACATGACGGCTTTCATGCTCATAGTTTGTGAAGCATCCTCCTGTACTGTCCCACCACCACGACCCAAGGGGAGTGATTGTCTCCATACACAGACTTCAGTTCGCTCTGAGCTCAGACCCCCCACTCAAAACCTCCGACTAGCTGTATGACTTTGGGCCAGTTCCATAACTTGTTCCTGCCTCAGTTTCCTCAACAGTATATTAGAATGAGTGATGCGTACTTTATGAGATGGTTTCAAGGGTACCTTAAGATTATGGAATACATTGAGCATGGTGCCTGTCTTCAAATAAGAAATAGTTGCTAGTATTCAATATTGACATCACTGACATTAATGATGTCATGGCTGCTTGAGCATCTGTATTTCCATCATAAAAGAAGGTTGTTGTTGTTGTTAAGCGCTGTCTAGTCGATTCCAACTCATAGCAATGCTACCTAGAATTTCCAAGGAGCATCTGGTGGATTTGAACCACCGACCTTGTGGTTCAAATTGATCTTATGGTCCAGTGCATTATCCTGCGGTGCCACACCAGGACTATTTCCTCTAAGTTCCATTTCCGGTTCCTCCTGGGTCTTGAGACTGCCTGCCTGGGGTTGGATTGGAGGAGGTGAGGCTGGCAGTTGGACCCTCAGGACTTCTCGGGTGAAACTCAGGGTCTTTCTGTCCTGCCTGGGGTTGGATTGGAGGAGGTGAGGCTGGCAGTTGGACCCTCAGGACTTCTCGGGTGAAACTCAGGGTCTTTCTGTCTTGGTGATCTAGTTAAGCACCGGCCCCGGTAGGGCCCAATAGCCTATCCTGTGCTTTTCAGTATGAATCCAAGAGCCGAGTGTCAGCAGATGCAGCCCTGAGCCATCCCTACTTCCAGTCTCTGGGCGAGCACGTGCACCAGCTGGAAGACAGTAAGTGGAACCCAGGGAAGGGTGAGCAGGTGTGGGCGGTCAGGCCAGCCTGCAGAGGCCAGGTGTACTGGATTCTGCTGAGCAGCTTGGCTTCCCCATTCTCATTTGTAAATGAAGGGAGCTAAGATGCTGGCCTGCAGGGCTCAGTCTAGTCCCCCTGGGCCAGTCATAACTGAAGAGGTCTCCAGCCAGGGGGTGCTCCTAACTCTGTGTGCCCAGTGGGTTGGGAGCAGCAGGGTCCCCACCCCTGACTAGCCCCTGCTTTTTCCTCTCCCTACCCCAGCTGCCTCCATCTTCTCCCTGAAGGAGATCCAGCTTCAGAAGGACCCAGGCTACCGGAGCCTGACCTTCTATCAGCCAGGTAGGGGTATGTGCCTCCCTACCCCAACCCTAAGGAGAGGAGGCCAGGAGGCATGGGAGAGGGGACAGGTCTTATTTGGAGGAGGTGCAGCGGGAGCTGAGAATGAACACGGCCACAGGGCTCTCCATGCAGTTAAGAGAGAGCCCTGGGCCCAGGGCCAAAGTTCTGGTGCCTCCTGGTGGAAATGCTTCCTGGGGTCACTTGGGCCCTGATCCTGTGGGGACTCCTTCCTGAGGATCAGAGGACCCCAGGATGGGGCCTGAAGCCCTTCCTATTATGGCAGTTAGCAAGGCTCTCCACCCTGCCTCCCTCTCATCCCCCTGCCCCTCAGAGCCTGCTTCTGACAGTGGCCCTAACAAAGATTCCTGCTCTTTCTGTAAAACCTGAGCTCCTGAACAGCTCCAGCCTGGGAGAGCTGTACTTTGTCTTTGGAGCCCCATGGCCTCTGAGGTGACAAGGTCCTTCCACACATTATCTCATTGAATCCTAAAGCATCATTTGAAGTTGGTACTATCAGTGTTCCCTAACAAAGCTCAGTCTGTGAAGCTGAGGGGTTGAGTAAAAATTTCACAGAAGCAGCACACACCCAGCCTCCCCTCCACAACCCTACCTTTTTCCTTCTGATTCCCAGGACGAGGGAAGAGCCGGCGGCAGAGCATCTTCTAAGCCGAGGCCCACCTGTGGCTGAGGGATGAGAGGTCACGCTGAGCACAGCGGAAAGATGGGGTCTGTGCCACCTCAGAGGATGGGCAAGGGCCGATGGCTACACAGAAGGCGGCAGTGTGGTGCCCTGCTGACCATGTCTATTCCTCTCCCTGCTTCCCACGAACCTCCCTGTGGCCTTTGTTTGGGCACCAACCTCTCTGCCACCCACCTTGGGGCTGGGTGTGAGCTGTTTCCCTAGAGGGAGGTTGTGGATAGGGTGGACCCTCTCCCACCTTGAAGTGCTTGGGCACTAGTGTGGGACCCACACGGACAGCGAGTACAGGTGCCAGGCTGAGCAGCGTGCCCAGATAGGTACCTCCTTTCCTGTATCACCCTCTTCTCCAAGAGCAGAAAGGGACACGGCACCTCCGCTGGGGCCTCAGAACTCTGGTTGCCATTGTATGTGCCAAATCCCACCCCTCACCTGAGGGGCTGGTGTCCCCAGAGCACCAGAAGAAACGGTAGCACTATACCTCTTCTCACCATCCCCATCTGCTCCTTTTGCCCCCAACTCTCCTGAGACACCTACACCTTTAGGCTTGAAACAAGGCTGGGGGCACTGGAATGATGACAGATACCCAGCTGAGCCCAGTGGTGGCACGGTTCTACCAACTGTGCTCCTGCTGCCCCCCAGCCCCTGTCCTGTCCCCTGAGTCTGAATGGAATGGCCTTCAATTGGCAGATAGCGAGTGCTCCCTGCCCCTGGAGCTCTGACCCCAGGTCCTACCTGTTTTCCTGCTTACCACCCTGAGCTCGGATAAGCCAGCCCTGGGTCAGGGCCCTAGGCACGCCTCAGATATGCAGGGTCACCCTGACACAGGTGACAGGCCACCTTGGGGACTGGTACAGCCTCCCCGCCCCCTCTGTCCCAGTCCCTGAGGCTCTGATCTTGTGCCACCTGAGGCTGGCACCAGCCTCCCTCTCCCCAGGGGATGGTCACGAGAAAGAGGGTAATCATGGGCCTGGGTGCAGAATGTGACTGGGAACAGTCTCTGTCCTGAGAGCCTGGGTCCCCACAGAAAGCTTTTCTCAGCACCCTGGCAAGCCTGTGTACCCCAACGTCTCCACACTGGGATGAGTCTTGAGTGGTGTCGGCAGGGCCTGCCCTGCTACACAAGCCCCCTGCCTGGTACATCCTCCTCTACCTGAGGAGTCTCCTCACAGCCCCTCAGCTTCTCACCCTCCTCCTACCCCCCCCAGAGAAGCCTCCTTCCATCCCCCCTTCCACTGTACTGTGAATGTCCCGTGACTCAGCACAAAGACAGATAATATATTTAATTCATGTGGTACAGAAGGAGCCAGCAGTCTCGTGCAGAAAAGCTGACTTTGACAGATTGTTGCCAAAGATGGAGGAGTCAGGGCCCCTCGCCAGGCCGAAAGAGCGTGGATGGGGTTGGCGCCTCTCTCTATATATATATAAATTCAAGAGCATTTGATTTGTGTGTCTCTGAGCCCACCCCTAGGCTGTGGGAGAGCAGTCTGTCTTCCAGATGTGGTGCTGCCGGGGAAGGCGGAAGAGGTGAAGGTCTGGACTGTGTGTTCTGCGCCCTGGTCTTGGCTGACCAGGAGAAGAAATGGACTCTAGCCAGTGCTGCTGCTTCTCCCTCAGCTCCCTAACCCCCTACCACCACCAAATGGCTCCCAGTCTTCCCTAGGAGAAAAGGCAGGACAGCAGACCTGATGTACAAGACCTTGTGTGTATGTATCACAGTACAGTTGTGCTCCGTGGAGTTTTCAGTGACTGCTTTTTCAAAAGTAGATCTCCAGGCCTTTCCTGAGACACCTTTGGATGGACTTGAACCTACAACCTTTCTGTTAGCAGTCAAGAACATTACCCATTTATACCACCCAGGCTCAGCATTTAATTCCAACAAACCACCTTCCTCTTGTGCTTTACACAACTACCAACCCCACATATCTCCCAACATTCTCAGAATCCTGCTCTGTTTTCAACTTAATGTCTAGGTTTATCTCTCTACCCCCACACCCCCTGTTCCCACCATGTGTCCTGGTCCTCACCTGTCCAGGGAGCTCATTAATGCCTTAAGAATGTCCTAGTTTGCTGGCATATTTGAAGGGGCAGCTACTTTTGGGAGGAAGAAGCTAATGTTAAGAGCTTGGGTAAGTCTTCCCCAGGCCATACTGGAAGTTAGGGATGGACCAGGGCTTAATTCTCAGGCCAGCATCAATTTTACCAGACTGGACCCCTCACCTTTTTGCAGACAGCCAGAAACCTAACTATGGGAAAATTATCTCAATGAACATTCATTCGGTGTTCGGTGAGAGGGGAGGGCCCAGAAATGCACTAGTGCAAATTGATACGTTTAAGCTGTGTTTGAAAGGAGACAGTACCTAACCTTTATGAAGCTCCTCAGTCTGTTCCAGGACTCTGTACTCAGAGCCGTGTCTCATTAAATCCTCACAGCAACCTATTTCTCCCCATTTTGCAGGTAAGATAAACAAAGCTTCTAGAGGTTCAGTGACTTGCCCAGGGCACACAGCCAATTGGAACCCCAGGTCTGTCATTCAGCCCTTGACCTTTAAAGAAGAGGGGAGTTACAGACTATCAAGAGCCCTGGGAGCCAGAGGAACACAGTACAGGGCAGAACCTGCAGGCAAAGTCTCAAACCACCGTCATCACTAAGGCAGGGTGGCCCATCAGCTCGCAGGCACTTCTGTGGCAGCTACAGCCGCTGGGTCCTTCTGAGTTGGGTAGAGGCTTCTGAGGTCTATGTGGAACATCAAACCACTCAGGTTCAGCCCTGGGATACTGTTGATCCAGGGCTGAGCTGGGGGAGGGGAGGGCACCAGACCTTGTATGTAGTTGTATTTGTTGCCTGTGGCTACAATAACAAATGACCATAAAGCAGGTAGCTTAAGGCAACAGGATGGTATTGTCTCCATTCTGGAGGCTAGATGTCTGAAATCAAGGTATTTCCAGGGCTGTGCTCTGGAGGCTCTAAGGAAGAATTTGGTCTATGCTTTCCTCTTAACTTTTTAACTTTTGGAGTTGCCAGCAACCTTGGTGATCCTTGGATTGTAGCTGCATCTCTCCAGTCTCTGCGTGTGTCATTGAAGCTATTCTCCCTGCGTATCTGGGTCTCTTAGAAGGACACCAGACTGATTGGATAAGGACCCACCCTACAGAGCTCATCTGAATTTGATTACATCTGTCTGCAAAGACCCTATTTCCAAAATCAGGTCAGCTTTAGAGAAACTGGGGGTTAGGACTTTAGCATGCATTTGGGGAGAAAACAATTTAACCCAACACTACTCAAGGACTTTCAGTGGGAAAATGGCAGCTCTGGAGGAAGAAGCTGGACCAGAGAAGCGGATTGGCTTTGGTTGTGAGCTGTCAGAGTAGAAGGGCTGCAGAAGCTGCCACCAGGCTCTGCAGTCACCAGACTCGGCCATAATCCAGGGCCATGTCCTGGGACCCCTACTTCCTTGGCACTTCCACAATCATTTCTTCACATCTTACGTGAAGGCTGCAGGAAACCAGCCTACCCCGTTCTACTGGAATCCCAGCCAAAAGAGCCCTTTAGCAAGTCATTTTCCCTTTGGCCTGACTTTGCCATCTGCTTCTAGGAGAGTCAGGATTGCCTGAGGCCCGCCTGGCCTTACACTCCTGCCCATTTTGCAGGGGCACTTGGGAAGTCTTGCAGCTGCCTGCCAAGGTGCCGCATCTGATGACAGTTCTCATGCATGCCCTGCTCCACTTCAGCCCCTGTTCCATCTAGGTGGCACCCAGGGCTGGCTCTTCCTTGTGCCCACCCTGCTCCCTGACTCCAGTAGCCAGGTCAGCTGGTGCCTACCAGGCTACCACTCCTTTACCCTTCCTGGTGGCCTGAACCAGTCACATGTGGGACACTGTAGCCAGACTGACTCTTTCTCCTTTAAGCAGCGCAGCCCCTCTGACCCATCTTTCCCACCTCCCTAAGTCAGGATTTCATAGCATCCCAGGAACCCCTTTGTCTCCAGAGCAAATTCACGGCCTCCATGCCTATCTCTGTGCTGGATACCAGGGACACAAAGGTGAAGGGCACTCCACCCCTGCTGTCCAGGAGCTCAGCCCTGCTGGTGGGGATGGCCACTCTTTCAGTAAACTCCTCTTAAGCACCTGTTGTGTGCCAGGCACTGAATACAGCTGTGCGTAAGACAGATCAGCCTTGTTCTCACAGAGCTTCCATTCTAATGGTGGTGGGAGGGAGATATTACCCAAGTAAACATCACGTCAAGGAGCCAGGAATGTAGTGACGCTAAGAAAAGCAGAATGCGGGCCCGGAGTAGGGGGATGGCGAAACACTGGAGTCAGTGACCTCTGGTAAGAACAAGTATGAAGAGTGGGCTGTGTGGATACTGAGAGGCACTCAAACCCACAGCCATTGAGTCAGTTCTGACTCATAACAACCCCATAGGACAGGGTAAAACTGCCCCTTAGGGTTTTCAAGATTATAAATCTTTATGGGAGTAGACTGTCTCATCTTTCTTTGGCAGAGTGAGTTTGAACTGCTTACTATTGTCAGCCCAGTTTGTACCACACCGCATGTGCTCTTTCCCAGGGACACAGTAGCAGCAAAGTCTTCAAAGGGAACGTGTTTAAGGAAAAGCAGAAAGAAGGCAATGTGGTCAGAATAGAGAAGCAAAAGGGCCAGACTACATTAGAGCCAACTGGAGGAGTGGGGAGGCAGCATCTGAAAACCATTGATTGAGATAAGGAGTCCTAGGGTGGTTGGTTAGAGATTTCAGCTGCTAACAGAAAGGTTGCAGGTTTAAGTCCATCCAAAAGCACCTCAGAAGAAAGGTCTGGAGATCTACATTTGAAAACTCAGCCACTGAAACCACTGGAGCACAGTTCCTACTCCGACACAATGGGGTTGTTGTCATGACTCAAGAGTTAAGCCAACAACAACTGAGTTAAGAGGTCATTGCATAACACGATGAACGTACCAAATGCTACT